CACCATCATCATCACCATCATCATCACCATCATTATCAACACCTTCATCATCATTATCATCACCACCATCAGCATCATCACCTTCATCATCATTATCATCAACACCTTAATCATCATCATCACCATCATTATCATCAACACCTTCATCATCATTATCATCACCACCATCAACATCATCACCTTCATCATCATTATCACCATCATCATTATCATCAACACCTTAATCATCATCATCACAACCACCTTCATCATCATAATCATCATCATTACCATCATCACCATCATCGTCACCACCACCACCAGCTATCATCCTCTTCATCATCATTATCATCAACACCTTCATCATCATCATCATCATCACCATCATCACAACCACCTTCATCATCATCATCACCATCATCATCAACACCTTAATCATCATCACAACCACCTTCATCATCACCATCATCACCACCATCATCATTATCATCAACACCTTAATCATCATCATCATCACAACCACCTTCATCATCATCATCATCACCATCATCATCATCGTCACCATCATCATTATCATCAACACCTTAATCATCATCATCACAACCACCTTCATCAGCATCATCATCATCATCATCATCACCAACATCATCATCGTCACCACCACCACCAGCTATCATCACCTTCATCATCATTATCATCAACACCTTCATCATCATCATTATCATCAACACCTTAATCATCATCATCACAACCACCTTCATCATCATCACCACCATCGTCAGCACCACCACCAGCTATCATCATCTTCATCATCATTATCACCATCATCATTATCATCAACACCTTAATCATCATCATCATCATCATCATCATCACCACCTTCATCATCATTTTCATCACCTTCATCATCATTATCACCATCATCATTATCATCAACACCTTAATCATCATCATCATCACCATCATCACAACCACCTTCATCATCATCATCACCATCATCATTATCATCAACACCTTAATCATCATCGTCACCATCATCATTATCATCAACACCTTCATCATCATTATCACCACCATCACCATCATCATTATCATCAATACCTTCATCATTATCACATCATCATCATCGTCACCACCACCATCATCATCATCATTATCACCAACACCTTCATCATCATTATCACCACCCCACCTTCATCATCATCATCATCATCATCATCACCTTAATCATCATCATCACAACCACCTTCATCATCATCATCACCATCATCATCATCGTCACCACCACCACCACCACCATCATCATCATTATCACCAACACCTTCATCATCATTATCACCACCCCACCTTCATCATCATCACCTTAATCATCATCATCACAACCACCTTCATCATCATCATCACCATCATCATCATCGTCACCACCACCAGCAGCTATCATCCTCTTCATCATCATTATCATCAACACCTTCATCATCATCATCATCACCATCATCACAACCACCTTCATCATCATCATCATCATCACCATCATCATTATCATCAACACCTTAATCATCATCACAACCACCTTCATCATCATCATCATCATCATCATCACCATCATCATCACCATCATCATCACCATCATCATCATCGTCACCATCATCATTATCATCAACACCTTCATCATCATTATCACCACCATCACCATCATCATTATCATCAACACCTTAATCATCATCATCACCATCATCATCATCGTCACCATCATCATTATCATCAACACCTTCATCATCATTATCACCACCATCACCATCATCATTATCATCAATACCTTCATCATTATCACATCATCATCATCGTCACCACCACCACCATCATCATCATCATTATCACCAACATCTTCATCATCATTATCACCACTCCACCTTCATCATCATCATCATCATCATCATCATCACCTTAATCATCATCATCACAACCACCTTCATCATCATCATCACCATCATCATCATCGTCACCACCACCACCAGCTATCATCATCTTCATCATCATCATCATCATCACCAACACCTTCATCATCATTATCATCAACACCTTAATCATCAACATCATCACAACCACCTTCATCATCATCATCATCATCATCATCATCTTCGTCACTACCACCACCACCAGCTATCATCATCTTCATCATCATTATCATCAACACCTTCATCATCATCACCATCATCATTATCATCAACACCTTCATCATTATCATCACCACCACCTTCATCATCATTATCATCAACATCATTATTATTCATCATTATCATCAACACCTTCATCATTATCACCATCATCATTATCATCAACACCTTCATCATCATCACCATCATCATTATCATCAACACCTTCATCATCATCAACATCATCATTAACATCAACACCATCATCATCACCTTCATCATGATCATTATCATCAACACCATCATCATCACCTTCATCATCATCATTATCATCAACACCTTAATCATCATCATCACCATCATCATCATCGTCACCACCACAACCACCACCACCATCATCATCATTATCATCAACACCATCATCATCATTATCACCATCATCATCATCGTCACCACCATCACCACCACCTTCATCATCATTATCACCATCATCATTATCATCAACACCTTCATCATTTTCATCACCACCACCTTCATCATCATTATCATTATTATTCATCATTATCACCATTACCATCATCATCATCATTATCATCAACACCACCATCACCATCATCATCATTATCACCATCATCATCGTCACCACCACCACCACCACCATCATCTTCACCATCATCATCATCGTCACCACCACCATCATCATCACCAACACTTTCATCATCATTATCATCATCATTATTATTATTCATCATTATCACCATCACCGTCATCATCATCTTCATTATCATCAACACCACCATCGCCATCATCATCAACACCTTCATCATCATTATCACCACCATCACCATCATCATCATCATTATCATCAATACCATCATCATCATCGTCACCACCACCACCACCACCATCATCATCATTATCACCAACACCTTCATCATCATTATCATCACCCCACCTTCATCATCATCATCACCATCACCACCACCACCACCTTCATCATCCTCCTCCTCCTCATCACAACCACCACCACCACCATCATCATCATCATCAAAACCACCACCACCATCATCACCTTTATCATCATCCTCATCATCACCATCAACACCATCATCACCACCACCATCATCACCATCACCGTCATCATCACCATCAAAACCACCACCACCACCATCAACACCTTTATCATCATCCTCATCATCACCATCAACACCACCAACATCATCACCATCACCATCAAAACCACTACCACTACCACCATCACCATCAACACCTTTATCAACATCATCAACACCACCACCATCACCATCATCATCATCATCATCATCATCACCACCATCAACAACACCTTTATTATCATCATCATCAAAACTACCACCACCACCATCACCAAAAAACAAAGGCTCAATCCCAATACTCGCACTTGCACCCTTCAATTGCGCATTCCCGGCCAGTGGTGCGAGTACGTAGAGTGTTCCGATTCTCAAGTGCAGAAGTTGACCCCGCCCCATTGCACCCTTAATCTGCACTTCACCCAAGTCCAGTGATGCGGACCTCGGGCAAGGGTATTACCCACAAGTCATTGCTGCAGGAGAAAAGGCTCAAGTTCCTTTTCTGAAAATATGTATTTTCTAATGAAATTAGTTCATTTTAGGATGATTAGTTGATGCTCTAAAACTTTAAGACAAAGCAGCAATAAATGTAAATTTATTTCAAATAACTGTATAGCAGTTTGTTTAAAAGTTGTTAATAAAGGTTTCTGAAAAAGTATCACAGCAACCAGCATCCTGGCATGCGTTGCGATCAATGACGCAACGCTCCCGGTCTCAATTCTGCAATTATTTGCACACTTGTGTACTACGCACTCGAAGCCTCACAGGGCACTTTCTCCAAGTGCACTTTGCTGACGTCTGCAGGGCACAGAGCGAGTATTGAGATTGGGCCAATATTGTCCGTTTCAAATTCACACACTGCAAAAACCCTCAGGCAGTGTTTTGTGATGCTGCTTCAAACACGTGATGAGGTTGGACGTATTAAACTTTCCTGCTTCTGTTCCACCTCGGGAAGTATAACAGAATACTGCCACATGGCCGACATTGCTCTTGCTCTGTGCAACTTTGCTAGCATGCACTGTTCTGATCTTGTGGGCTTTGCATGCTGGATAGAATTGGTGGAATTAAATTTAAAGCGGAACAGACTGTTAATATCGAAGATTTTTGATGCAGTCCGATTAGGTTAAAGTCCCATAGTCATCATCACACACTGGTGAAATTCATCTGCATCTGGCCCATCCCCATGGAGAGGAGCGGTGGAGCTGCAGTGGTGGCTGCACTCGGGAATTATTTGGTGGTTTAACTCCTCAATCCAACCCCTTAAAGCTGAGTGTCAAGCTGGGTGACATTGGGTCCCATTTTCAAAGTCTTTGGTATGACCCGACCAGGATTTGAACCTTGATTTCTCAGTCCCAGGGCGGACACTCTACCACTAATCCACTAAGCTGATAAAATCCCATAAGTGTTTTTGGGCCGATATCGAACCAATTTCTGACATCGATATCAGAACGGGGCATCCCCAACTACCATCATCATAAACACATTCACCATCATGAAAGTCACCATCATCACCATCACAATCACCATCATTATAAACGTCATCTTAATCATCATCGTGAATTTTTTCCACCAACAGGATCTTTTATAACCTGGACAAATGCTGATTTGTTTACGCTGAAGGATTGACCAATGACAGCTGTTTAGTGTGTCACTGTGCTAACATGACACAAAACAAGCTAACGCAGCTAAACGACAGAATAAACGTTCTATGAAGATTTTATTGTATAACCTAGATACTTATTTACTGATGTCCGCTCACCTCCAACGCTAAATACCTCCTCTACGTCTGACCGAGACGTTTGGGCACAAACCTTTGCCAGCAAGTATCGAGCTAACCAAGTAGCTTTAGCTTCAAAGCCGACAGATAGAGCATCTGAGCGATAATGAGCTCTTCCAGTCCGGCCCAGTCTTCAGTCTGAGAGACAGTCCCCGTCTGGCATTAACTTTAAACTATATTAATACAGTCAACTTCATTTTAAATCACAGCTTTTTACTGATTTTAGTCGATACAACAGCGAAGGAGCCCATTAGTCACCGCCATCTTCCTCTCCCTGAAGCCGGACCGCAAGGCATCCTGGGAAACGGAGTTCTGATGCAGTCATCTCTGTTGCCAGTCTGCCACAGAGATAATGAATAAACCTGATGGATCACTGAGTGATCAATGACAGGATAAGTTTTGGTCTTTTTAAAATTATTCAGGTATAAAGAAGACTGAGCTCCAACTGGATTGTTTTAGCAGTTTAAGTTTTTGATTAATTACTGGCTAATAAACAATTTCCTCTTAAAACCGCCTAACCAACGCATCAACTAAACAACCAGCTCAGATAAACAGAAACGTGTCACGCCACTACATAACATTTGAGGAATCCGCTCACTGATGCGTGCACGTTAGGGCCGTGAACATCCTTCTGCAGCCATTGAAACAAATTCTTCATTTTAAAGACGGGCTGCTGCAACAGCAGCTGATCGGATCCTTCCAGCACCTTGATCCTGTTGTAGATCAGCTGCTGACTTTGGATCATGCTTCTGTTTCATGACCCGCTTTGGTCCAACTTTCAGCTCTCACATGAGATTCTGGGCCGACTTCACACTGATGTTAATGAAACACACAGAAGCTCTCACCAAAGCCAAATCAGTACAGATATAACGGTGTTTAATCACTGGTGCTGTGGTATATTAGTGGATCAGAGGCTGGTAAAAAACACAAGATTAATGTTTAAGATAAATAATTTTTATTTTTAAACTTAATTCAACCAAAACAATGCAAAGTTAAAACATGAAATGTTTACTTTGTAATGATAATTATATAAAACAGACACAGAACCATTCACACCAGTCAAACAGAACTCAGCTAACATTCATCAACCACCCCCAAAAAGACCACCAGCCCATCATTTGGTAATTAAAAGAATAAATCAGGTGGTGCTACAACCTCTATAAACACACATTTAACATGTCCTTTTATTATTATTGATTTATTGTGTTTGTCCCATAAAGCCTCTCTTGTAACATCAGCACCAGGAGGTTGCTGATAACACTAAACACAACATCCTATATTGCCTGTTGGTTTTCAAAATAAAATGTAACAGAAATCTTGATAGCTTGTCCACCAACAACTAGCTGCCATCATGTTCACGTCTTAAACCAACTTTTATGATCTTCTAATGTTAATTGTAAAGGTGCAGAATGCAAATCAGATTTGGTGTCAACAGAAAATTTGGCGTTCTTTTGTGCAAACGGAAACGTCTGTGGGGTTTCTCTCCATGTATTTGGGAGGCTTCGAAAAGCAAAATGAATTTAATAATGTAATCTACCTGCAATAAAACCAGTTACAAAGTTGCATCAACACAAGAGGATGAAGGAACACAAGTTTATAACTTGTTCCAGCTTTTTGCTTGTGAAGCATCACAAAAATCTGAGTCCATCCATTAGGATGTTTTAAAACAGCCGAGGCTGATGGGATGGATGTGTGAAGGCTCAGCACCAGGCTGGAGTCTCCTGTAGTCATAAAAATGTGTGTATTACATTCTGAAAGTCATACACACACACCCTTCTGGGGGTCCCTGCTTTGTGTGTGTGTGTGTGTGTGTGTGTGTGTGTGTGCAAGGAGGGAGGGAAAGAGGAGGAGGGAGAAAAATGCTTCAAAGTTGTGAGATTCTAATGGTTGGTATTGTGACATCATCAGGCCTGATCTCAGCGAGGTCATTCATGTTGCCCGTGAGCTCAAGCTAAGAGGCAGTCCCAGGGCCAAGCCCCTCTGAACAGCTATCCAAACAAGCCCAGCTGCTTTTTAAAGAGGAAAATTAAACATGAGTCAGACACCCTGAGAGCAGACAAGTGAAGCCCGAGGCACCTTCTTCCTGCCTCAGAGTCCCGGGTAACCCGACTTGACCCCAGCGCTGGTAACAGAGTCTGTCCAGATTCCAGCAAGAGTTCAAGAGAGCAAAGGGCGGAGCCTGTAGTTTCACCATGGTAACTAACTGTAGGGGCGGAACCAGTAGTTTCATCATGGTAACTAACTGTAGGGGCGGAGCCTGTAGTTTCACCATGGTAACCAACTGTAGGGACGGAGCCTGTATTTCACCATGGTAACCAACTGTAGGGGCGGAGCCTGTTGAGTAGCTAATAACGCCACTAACTTTATTCACCAGCCTTTGTTTCTTCCCAGAAGGAGCTTTTTCCAATCATAAAGGCCCCAGATCACGACTGGTTGTTGGTCTGAAGCTGTATGACAGTAACTAAGTCTCATACAGACTCTGATAGATTACTGCTACACCAGGAAGTTAACACTCCTTTAAAGGACTGCTGAGGCTTAAATCTACATTTTAAAAGGAATTAAGGCAGAATTTGGCACATCTGATGTACGAACTTCCAGGACATCAGCAGCGTTAGGGTTAACATCAGCAGGGTTATTCAACTGCAGGTCAGTGTTTGGAACATGCTCCTTCAGGTAAGAAACTGTGAGGGCAGAATTTTAACAGGCCAGACAGCACCAGGCTATAACAGAAAAGCCAAGGACAGAGCAGGAGGGGAAACAAGGAGGAGTGTACTCTCAAAACTCTAATCAGAACAAGTCTAGCTTATTTCCTGATTGTTTCAAACTCAAACGTCTACAGCAGCAATGTGAAGAAGACCTTTCCTTCTTCAGACCAGCCCAGCATCCTTTGCCATCTTGTAAAAGGGTCCTCTCTCAGCAATGAGCCTAGAGGGAGAGTCAAACTCCACCATCTGTCCTTTTTCCAGTACCAGAACCCTGAAGGAGACAGAACATACAAACAATTTAGGTTCTTCAAGCTGCACAACAAATACAGATAAATGAGAAATCAAAAGTGTTTTACACAGTAGATAACGTTGGTTACGTATTATAACCCCAGATTCTATGAGTCTAGTCGCAGCCCTTAAGCTAGCTGCTATTGGAAGGATGATCTTCAGCATCATGAAGAGCTTAAATGTACGCCCCCTGTGGGTATATAAGTGGAGCAACTCCACTGTTCACCTCCGATGGCTCTTAGTCCTAACAGAACCAGTGGGGCCATTGGCTTAAGGGCTGCGACTAGACTCATAGAATCTGGGGTTACAATACGTAACCAACGTTCTACTTCGTCTAGTCTTAGCCCTTAAGCTAGCTGCTATTGGAATAAAGCGCAGCTGGATGGGTTTACGCCACACTGGTTAGCTCAACCACTGGACACACCCAACATGTCTCCTTTTAGCGAGGGTCGCTCAACCTCACCCCAGGGCTTAAAAGGCTGAGGCAGCCAGAGAGAAGAGTGGGGCCCCCACTAAACATATCATCCACAAGACGATAAAATTCATTCAGGTAGGGCTGATGTGGAGCCATAATGCTTTCACTCAGCCTGCTGAGGTCCAAGCACTGAACGAGTGATGGATCCTGAAGACACATCTCGTAAATAATAACGAGTAAAGGAACAGGGTGAAGCCCATGAAGCAGCCTGACAAATGTCTTCCATCGACACAGCACTGTGGGGCGCCACAGAAGAGGAAATCCCTTTGGCTGAGTGAGCCCTGAGTGTCTCAGGAGGATCCCGCCCTGATGATGTGTAAGCGAGTGAAATGGCGTCACACAGCCAGTGTGAAAGACGCTGGATCGATCGCGCTTGCCCAAGGGAAGAATCTCTGTAGTGCACAAACAGGCTTTGTGAGCGGCAAATCCCTGAAGTGCGTGACGCATATCGTGCGAGCGGGAAGCCGCCTCCTCATCAGAATTATGGGGAGGAGGAAAAAGTCCAGCCAATGAAATTGACCTGGATTTGAAGGAAGTATTAATGTTTTTGGGCACAAAGGCTGGGCTGGGGCATAAAACAGCAGATCCGCCATCTTCCCGGATCCTGAGGCATGCGGGAGCCACTGAGAGGGCGGTTAGGTCGCTCACTCTCTTGACTGATGCCAGCGCCAGCAGCAAGGCAGTTTTGAGTGACAGGAACTTGAGTGAGACCTGGTCCAAGGGTTCAAATGAGGCTTCAGATAAGCCGCGCAGAACCACCGTTAGGTCCCACTGGGGAAATAGCGGGCGGGACACAGGTCTGTTCCTTCTGACGCCTTTTAGGCGTCAGTGACTTGATGCAATTTGCTGGGTTCCTTATATAGGAAACATTATTTCTGATTGGCTTAATGAACTGTGAATTGGAATGTTTATTGTGTGAAGTGCCTTGAGACGACTCTTGTCGTGATTTGGCGCTATATAAATAAACTTGAATTGAATTGAATTTTAGAAAACGTTTTGTGAGGGGATGATTGAAAACAGATCTATCTCCAAAACCCTGGTGACAGGATGAGATAGCTGTAGCATATGTGTTAATAGTGCTGAATGCGAGGCCCCTGTCCATCAGCATCTGCAGAAACGATAGGACATCCGCCAGCTGGCAGGAGAGCGCTTGAACATTCCGCTCTGTGCACCATTTCTGGAAAGCTGCCCATTTAGCAGCATAAGATGTGACGTAGAAGGCGCCCGTGCACTCTGAATCGTGGCGACCACATCATGCGGCAGCCCAGAAGCCTCTAAGCGTGACCGCTCAGCGGCCAGACCCACAGCCGTTGGCCTATTTCTGGAGGATGTTTGATTATCCCATCTACCTGGAGAAGGGCGTCCGCTCTCCACGGGGAGCCGGACACTAGTGCTTGCAGGTCTGGAAACCATGACACAGACAAGCGTCTGGGAGCCACCAGAATTACCGAGAGCTGTTCCGACCGAACTCGGTCCAGGAGACGGGGAATCAGTGGGACTGGCGGAAACGCATACAGGAGCATCTGAGGCCAGGGCTGGTGTGAGAAGGCGTCCGCTCTGAGTGGGGGGTGGTCCCAGGGACTCAGGGAAAACCACAGGCGACACTGAGCGTTTTCGCAAGCCGCGAACAGATCCACAGAGGGTTCCCCGAACTTGATCCATATCTGTGATATCAGTGCGGGATGCAGACGCCAGTCGGAGTCGCGGGGTCCCCCTCTCGACAGGATGTCTGCTGCCACATTCAGGACCCCCAGCATGTAGGTGGCTTTGATGGACAGCACAGTAAATCTGTGGCTACACGCAATAGTGGGAGGGATCGAACTCCCCCTTGGTGATTTATGTAGGCTGCCGCCACCTGGTTGTCTGTGTGAACTTCGACATGACGGCCCTCGAGAAGGGCAGCGAAGTGTCTGATCACATTCCTCACTGTCATAAGCTCCAACACATTTATGTGCTCGTGCGTGTGGGAGGGCCAGCGATCTGCCACCGTATGGGACAACCACGTGCCCCCCATCCCAACAGTGACGCATCCATAAAAACAGATACGTGTGACGTAGGACGTCCGATGGGGAACCCGTGTGAGAGGATGCAGGGATTCCCGCAGTGAGCGAGGTCCCCGCCCACTGAAGGGGGAACCCTCAACATACGTCTCTTCTGATGTATCGGGTGTACCCGGAGGCAGATGAACCAACGCTGTAGGCGTCTCGTGTGCAGTAAGCCAAACGGCACCACAGCGTGGGCTGCAGCCGTCATGCCCAGAAGTTTCATGACTAACAGGGCTCTCACGAACTTACGGGGTTACACGCGGGAGATCACCGTGGTGAGATCTGCCGCTCTCGCCGGAGACAAACGTGCTCTCATTAGGGAGGCGTTCAGCTCCACCCCGAGAAACACAATCGACTGGGATGGAAGGATGGAGCTCTTTTCCCAGTTTATGGAAAACCCCAGAGTTGACAGATGCTCTATTAACTTCCTGGTTTGCTCTGACGCCTCGTCCTTGGACTGGGCGCATAGGAGCAGATCGTCCAGGTAAAATAAAACCCTCATTCTCGCCGTGCGCAATGGCTGCAGAGTGGTCTCCAGACATTTGGAGAAGGTGCGCGGGGCTAGCGAGTAGCCGAAAGGGAGACGATTGAACTGGTATTGAACTCCCTTGAATGAAAAGCGCAGGAACTTCCGGTGTTTGGGAATTACTGGGATGTGGAAGTATGCGTCTTTCAGGTCTATTGACGTGAACCAGTCCCCGGAGCGCACGTATTCTAGGACTTGCCTCATTGTTAACATGCGGAAATGCATCACTGTTATGGAGCAGTTGAACAGGGAAAGGTTGAGAATTGGTCTCATTCCTCCCGACTTCTTCGGTACTACGAAGTAGCGGGAGTAGAAGCCTGAGAGCTCTTGTCTGCGAGGGACTTGGGATATGGCGTCCTTGGACAGAAGTTCCCGCAGCTCAAGCTCCAGGGCCTGAGATTGTTCCTGTGACGTGAACGTCGTCTCCACGATCCCGCTGAAGGGAGGAGGAGCGGACTGAAAATGGAGTGTGTGACTGTAATGAATGGTGTCCGATATCCATTTTCTCATGAGACAAAGGCGGCGCCATTCTTGCGCGCGGTCCGACAGCGGACGCGTGTTCGAGGTCACGTGAACGACGTCTGAGGACTGGGTTTGCGCCTTTACCGCCGTCGCTCGCACCAGAGAACTGGGAGCGACCCATGGAGGGCTGCGCTCGAAAGGGCGAGTGTGAAACAGCTGGAAGAGGCTGATCCGCACCGCGGAGTGTGGAGAACAAAGTTAAAGGACGAGTGGGAGCCGGGCCCATGCATGGGGACGTCAAAGTGCCAGCGGATGGAGCCGCGCACTGTGTCGCTGCGCGTGGTCGCGACAGCGCCATGACATCCCGTCCCACCTAACGTTGTGGGGGAAGCAGAATGTGTTGGGCCCACCTGGCTGGAAGCTAGGGCCGGTGCGCAAATGGAGCGCACCCTTACAGCTGGCCGTGTAATATGACTGACTGCGGGAACATGCAGATGTGTCGCAGTGCTTGGTGTGGGGAACATGTGTGAGGATTTGGCAGAGGATTCTGCAGAGGACTGTAGGATTGTGCTCTCCATGTGATGTATTTTGGGTTTTATTTCAAAACCAACATCATTCACAGAGTTATTACAGTCAGAAGCACGCACATTCCCCCCAACGAGTCATTTTCGTGGTTGCTTTCGGCGAGGTTCCTGCGACTGTGACTACCAAGACGGTTTCTGCTGGCTCTTTCGAAACCATTGGCCGTCAACTCTCTGGTCCCGCTTCGGCTCCACCTCAGCGGGAGGCCGGCTCCGTGGGGCGGGCGGTGCAGCCTGAAGTTTCCGCGCCGTTCGTCCCATCCTCTGGAGGAACGGCCGGAGTGCGAGGCTGACCGAGGGTGGACCAGGTCTCGCAGCGTGGCTGACAGTTCAGCTGTCTTCTGAGCCCTCTCGATGATGCTCCTAAGATGGGGACCAAACAGCACGTCAGAGGTGATGGGGCCTTTCAGCATCTCCCTGTGCAGGTGTTCAGGAATGGACGGCAGGGCCTTGAGCCACAGGGCCTGCTGAATAAGGGTCTGCCAGGCAGCAATGCGAGCAGAACCGGTGAGTACAGCAGCGCACAGATTGAGAATGGCATCAGCAGTTTTAGTAATGATGGTTTTTGACTCGTCAGGAGCGTCAAGCTCTTCCACCATTTTGGAAACACCAAAGGAAAGAAGAGCGATGTTATTTCCTGCAGCGCCGGTCTGGAAGGCGCACTGGTGTGCATGATCGGTGAGCCGTGTGAGCAGCTGGTCATGCTTAGAAGCGGGAACAGCTCGTGGGCCAGCGAGGTGGTTCTTGGCACCAAACAGCGAGGCCAAGTCTGGCTCCAGTGGAGGAACAGATGGCTAGCCTTGGTCGGAGAAGCCCTCGACCTTGGTAATGGGCACATATGTGGAAATTGGCGCTTTGAGCTTAGCAGGTTCGGAGAAGGCGGCGAACCAGCAGCTCATGGCAGCGGGGAAGCGCGGCCAGATGGGGTCTGGACAGCGCGTCTGTGTTGCCCCGAAAATTCCAGCCAAATCATCTACTTCAGGCGGAGCCGGTTCTGGCACAGCTAGCCCCTTGCGGACCGCAGCCATGGAGATGATGGCAGGCAGCTCCTGGAGCAGTGCTCTAACTGCTGGCAGGGAGGAGCGAGAAGCCACTGGAGCAGAAGGACCCGCTGAGCGAGGCTCTTCGACCTCCGTGTTGTCCAGGAGGGAAGAAGGGCTATGGCAGCCAGCCTCGTCGTACTCCTCACTGTCGATGACATCGTCCAGTCGGTTGAAGCCAGCCGGCTCCTGGCCGACGTTGGTGGGCGTACATTTAAGCTCTTCATGATCGGCTGATGCTGAGATCATCCTTCCAATAGCACCTAGCTTAAGGGCTAAGACTAGACGAAATAGAACTCTATTTTCCATTTTATTACCCAACTTTGACCCCCCCCCCCCCCCCCCCCCCCCTCCCGTGTGTGAGAGAATGAATACACTCCGCGCCAACAACAAATAATGAGTTTGTTAGTTAGGGTGGTCTGACCGGAAGTGTGTGTGTGCCCACTAAAACTTGACATTTAAATGTCAAATGTTAAATGTTTTCACCCAAAACTCCAGGAGTATCAGTAACTTCGTGAACGTAGAACTCCTCGGTTCTCGCGACAGCTACCAGTGACCCTCAGTGGGCCTGGTGGGAAACTGCTAATGATGTGAACATTACACACACAGATACTGTCTTCAGTGTTTAAACTGGGACCAGAACATACCGGTGTGTTTCTGAACCCACCTTGTGTAGTCCATGATGGTGTTGAGGCGATGGGCTATGGTTAGAACAGTGCTGTCCTCAAACTGTGAGCGGATGGTGGACTGGATCAGTTTGTCTGTCTCCATGTCTACAGCAGCTGTGGCCTCGTCCAGCACCAGGACTTTGGTCTTCCTCAGCAGAGCCCTGGCCAGGCACAGCAGCTGGCGCTGACCCACACTGAGGGAACAGACGGACTGATTATTTCTGATTATGTGCTGAGGCTCACCTGCACTAACAGCAGCCATACCTGAGGTTCTCTCCTCCTTCACAACACTTGTGGCTGAGTTTATCAGGAAGACCTGACACAAAGCTCTTCAGGTGAGAGAACTCCAGGGCCCTCCAGATCTCCTCATCGGAGTAGGAGTTAAAAGGATCCAAGTTCATCCTCAACGAGCCTGAAAACAGCACCGGGTCCTGAGGAGAGACCAGAGATGTGGATGACTCTGCAGCTGCCACCAGTGATCAACCTCAGCTTTTATTTTAACTGTAGCTGTACGCCTGAGGTGGTTGTGTGCAAAACTGGAGCTCCACAGGGTACAGCGCTGTCCCCCTTTGTCTTCACCTACAACACCAGCAGATGTCACCTCCAGAGGTTCTCTGATGAGTCGGCCATTGTCATCTGTGTGTCTGAGGGAATGACCTGGAGTACAGGTCAGTCATCATGGACTTTGTGGACTGGTGTGAGCGTAACCACCTTTGCTTGAACACCAGTAAGACAAAGGAAATGGTGACTGACTTCCAGAGAAACACTCCTCCTCACTCACAGGTAAACATCCAGGGAGCAGACACTGAGGTGGTGGATACCTTTAAGTACCTGGGTGTTCAACTCAACAGTAAACTGAACTGATCCAACAACACAGATGCTGCATGAGAAGGGCCAAAGCTGCCTCCACCTCCTGAGGAGGCTGAGGTCCTTCAGAGTTAATCCCAGCTGCTAAAATCCTTTTATCACTCTGTTGTTGGCTCTCTTATTCACTCTGCTGTGGTCTGTTGGGGTGCAGGCAGCTCTGACCGAGACAGGAAGAGACTGAACAAGCTAGTCAACAAAGCTAGCTCGGCTCCGAGCTGCCCACTGGATACAGCTGAGGAGACATGTGGAAGGAGGATGCTGGAGAAAATGACCACCATCTTGGAAAACCCCTTCCATACACTGCATCCTACTGTGGAGACCATGGACAGCTCCTTCAGAGGCAGACTGAGACATCCCAGATGTAAAACAGAACACTACCGTAGGTAGGGTTGCAAGAATTAACCATGGTGTGAAACGCTGCGGTTAACCCATCGTGTCTCCAACAGCACAAAAAAAAAAGTAAAAATTAGCGTACCAAAGTGAAACTGAACGAACCACGCAGCAGAACTAGCATCAACAACCACCGGGACTGCTCCGTTTCGACCTACGATGAGCTTCATGTTTTAGACTCCCAAAGCTGCTAAAAGAGAAATTCAGAACGATGTCTCGTCAATCTGCAGAGCTGGCAGAAAAAAAAATGTGCAACACTCCCCAACTTATCATCTCTGAGATTATCAAGCAGACAAATTAGCTCCAACTGAGTCAGATTACATCAGTGACTGACCAGATTTAACAGTAACGTTAGGACAATCCAGTGAACGATGGTTCGTATTGTGTTGTTCTACATTCCCCTGTATCTGTCTACAACAATCCTATATGGCAAGCCATTCTCATATTTAATCTACTACTCCTCTCTGTAACACATGTTCTACATAAACTAATATAATTTGTGCTTGTCCAAATAATATTCTTACTGATGAAATAAGATGAACAAGTAGAAACTACATTGAAGTAATATTCATAATAACTGCACTGGTAGGAATTTAGCATCTGAGCTCACAAAGGGGTCTCCGTGCTTCAGTGCTAACTCTGACCAGATGTCAACAGTTAAAACTTTTTGTCTTTTTCCAGAAACTCAAAAAATGTTATTGGGGAGATACAATTGAACCATCACCTTATCGTGGTGGAGGAGTTTGAGTGCCCTAATGATCCTAGGAGCTATGTTGTCTGGGGTAGAGCCCTGCACGGGCCTAAAATCTGAGCCCGTGTCCGGCCCAGCCCGAGGGGGTGGAGCCCCAGCCCGACCCGGTCCGAAAAGGTTTTCAGGTTTCTCTGGCCCGACCCGAGCCCGACTTTTTTTTAACCAACTAAATGAAAACAAAGTGCGTCAATCCTGACCAATGTGTTAAAAGACGTGCAGGATCCGATCAATTTGTTTTTCCCTCATTTTCCGTCACAGAGATAACGGCGCACTGGCTCTGGTGGTAATCAAGATAAATTTTATCTCTTTGCAACAATTTTCACAAGAAAACAAAACAGTTAAAAGCAGGGCTTGTGTTGTGTTGACCGGATAGTTCCCGTATTTGACCGTTTATTTTGACGGAGAAAGAATAGAAAGAATTACCCCGACGCATGCAGACGAACTGACATTTTATTCTACGCACATCGCAGATGTAGCTAAATCACCCAAAAAAAGATTCCCATCTGAACATCTGAGCTGGACACTGCTCAGCGCAGCTGGCTGTCAGTGCATATGTGCACAGCGAGCTGAAGTTGTGGAGATTGGCTTGGAGCGCGTTGCAGAACCAGAGCGCATGCGGGAAGGTTCCTCCCACTGAAGCGAGTGTTTTCCAAACCCGGTCTCTGAGAGAGACTTGTCACTTATAAAAAGTTCCCTGATTATGAAACTTTGGCTGAATAGTGCTTGTTCCTGTCTCCAATGTGGCGACACATCCAGGAGCCGTCTGAGGAGATTCCCAGAATCTCACATCCTCTTCAGCTCAGAATGCACCTATGATTACGCACAAGCGTGACCCGTCAACCCAGTCTCACAGTAAGACCGGGTTGGGCCTGTTCAGGTTTACGCAGACAATCTTTAGATAGAATTGACTTACAGATATAAAATTAATTCAGTAAAATATAAAGCATTTAAATATCCATTCATCATTTTACAAGCACAGAGAGCCGCATCAGATTCAGATCAGCGGGAAGATTCCTCCGACTGTATTCAGTCGGAGGAATCTTCCTGCATGCGCTCTGGTTCTGTGACGCGCTCCAAGCCCCTCTCCACATCTTCAGCTCGCTGTGGACCTTATGTAGTACACGCTGACAGCGAGCTGCACTGAGCAGTGTCCAGCTCAGATGTTCAGATGGGAACCTTTCCTTGAGCGATTTAGCTACATCTGCGATTTGCGTAGAATAAAATGTCAGTTCGTCTGCATGCGTCGGGGTAAAGCCTGATTTATGCTTCTCCGTCTGCGTCAGTGCGGAGACACGCAACGCCATTATCCGTCCTTGCGTAGGGATCCGGCAGGCACGCAAGTACGTACGGAGTCTAGCCCACTTTTTTAGACATCCGTCGAACGAGACGGATTACGCAAGCTTGTGATTGGTCAGGACGCCGCTGTGGTTTACAGCGCCGCCATTGCAAAGAGAGCCGAGGATAACAAGCGCCAGACACGGAGAAGCTTGAAGAATATCTCGCGAAAAAACTCTAAAAATATGAACGTTAATTCTCCCGTGACTGGAGGAGTGAAAAGATGCGCAGCAAGCATTTTATTTGTGGACGGAAATGACAGGAAACGTGGGTTTAGAGGGGGGGAGCGCATGAAGCGGTGGGAGAATGAGAGACAAATATGTCCGTGTTAAATGTCTCTTATATACACAAAAAACACAATATAAACACACGATCTTGGACCGATACATGACAGGACACCACAGAACAGCGCTACGCCCTCTGTTGTCCTGCCGGGCAATTGCTTTGCAACACTCTCCAGGAGACGGAGAAGTAAAAGAGCAAAACGCTTCCGTCAATCCGTGCCTGTCTGTCCCTTGCAGAGCTGACGGAGAAGCATAAACCAGGCTTAATTCTTTCTCCGTCAAAATAAACGGTCAAATACGGGAACTATCCGGTCAACACAAGCCCTGCTTTTAACCGTTCTGTTTTCTTGTGAAAATAGATAAAATTAAACTTGATCCAGGCGCACTGCACCGTTATCTCCGTCACTGTAAATGAGGGAAAAAAAAAATTTGATCGGATCCTTTTCTGACCTTCCCCACCTACAAAGTTTAATTACAACAATCAAACGTGACAGAGCCTGGATTTGTATTCTGAACACTCTAAACATGTTTTAAAAAGAATCGTATGACAAAAGTGGCACCTGCTCAGTAAAACCATCAACAGGGTGAAAAATATCAAAATCTGGATCCACTTTATATAAATCGTTTTATTGATTATCTTTTTCTGAAAGATAACTTTGACGTACACGAGCGACTGGTACTGGCTGCTGTCACCTGTTGTGAGCAGCTCTCTTCAGTCTGAGGGTAGGCCCCGCCCACAACGCAGTGGCTGCAGTGGCTCCCAGTGTTTTCTTTACTGTGGGAAACGGGTAATAATGGCTCTTTGATGGGAACCGGTTGCCGACCCCTGATTTAGCATTGACATAGCATTGGCTCTGGAACCCAAGTCCTTGAGAGGGGTTGGACACTCTCCTTTGCTGGAGTTGCTCCGGGTGAGAGGCGGAGGGCTGGGGTTGGCTTTTTGTTAGCCCCAAGACTCTCTGCCTGTGTGTTGGGGTTTACCCCGGGGGACGAGAGGGTAGCTTCCCTGCACCTTTGGGTCGGGGAACGGGTCCTGACTGTTGTTTGTGCTTATGGACCAAATGTCAGTTCAGACTACCCACCCTTTTTGGAGTCCCTGGGACGAGTGCTAAATAGTGCTCCATCAGGGGACTCCAATGTCCTGCTGGGGGACTTCAATGCTCACGTGGGCAATGACAGCTTGACCTGGAGGGGTGTGATTGGTAGGAACGGCCCGCCTGATCTGAACTCGAGTGGTGTTCCGTTACTGGACTTCTGTGCAAGCCACAGTTTGGCCATAACGAACACCATGTTCGAATATAAGGATGCCCATCGGTACACTTGGTACCAGGGCAGCCTAGGTTGCAGGTTGATGATAGACTTTGTAGTCGTATCATCTGACCTGCGGCCGTATGTTTTGGACACCCGAGCGAAGAGAGGAGAGGAGCTGTCAACTGATCACCACCTGGTAGTGAGTTGGATCAGATGGCAGGGGAAGATGCCACGTAGACCTGGCAGACCTAAACGCATAGTGAGGGTCTGCTGGGAACGCCTGGCAGAAGAACCTGTTAAGACGGTCTTCAACTCCCACCTCCGGCAGAGCTTTGACCGGGTCCCGAGAGCAGTGGGGGACATTGACTCCGAGTGGGCCTTGTTCCACTCTGGTCGCAAGGTGACCGGTGCCAGTCGTGGTGGCAACCCCGTACCCGCTGGTGGACACCAGAGGTTCGGAGAGCCGTCAGGCTGAAGAAGGAGGCCTGCAGGGCGTGGCTGGTCTGTGGGTCTCCGGAGGCAGCAGACAGGTACCGGATAGCCAAGCGGGGTGCAGCAGTGGCAGTTGCCGAGGCAAAATCTCGGGTGTGGGAGGAGTTTGGTGAGGCCATGGAGAAAGACTATCGATCGGCTCCAAAGAGGTTCTGGCAAACTGTCCAGCACCTCAGGAGAGGAAGGCAGCAACTCGCTCACACTGTTTACAGTGGGGATGGGGAGCTGCTGACGTCAACTGGGGCAATAGTCGGGCGGTGGAAAGAATACTTTGAGGAGCACCTCAATCCCACCTATGCGCATTCTGAGGAGGAAGCAGAGCCGGGAGACCTGGGGATGGACTGTCCAATCTCGGGGGCAGAAGTTGCTGAGGTAGTCAAACAACTACACAGCGGCGGAGCCCCGGGGGCGAATGAGGTTTGTCCTGGGTATCTCAAGGCTATGGATGTTGTAGGGCTGTCGTGGTTGACACGTCTCTGCAACATTGCGTGGTCATCGGGGACAGTTCCTGTGGAGTGGCAGACCGGGGTGGTGGTCCCCATCTTTAAGAAGGGTGACCTGAGGGGGTGTTCCAACTATAGGGGATCACACTCCTCAGCCTCCCTGGAAAGGTCTACTCCAAAGTACTGGAGAGGAGGGTCCGATCAATAGTTGAATCTCAGATTGAGGAGGAGCAATGTGGTTTTCGTCCTGGCCGTGGAACTGTGGACCAGCTCTATACCCTTGCAAGGGTGATGGAGGGGGCATGGGAGTTTGCCCAACCAATCCACATGTGTTTTGTGGATTTGGAGAAGGCTTATGACTGTGTCCCCAGGGGCAATCTGTGGGGGACGCTCCAGGAGTATTGGGTGGGTGGCTTTCTGTTAAGGGCCATTCAGTCCCTTTACCAGAGGAGCGTACATAGCCGGTAGTAAGTCGGACCTGTTCCCGGTGAGGGTTGGACTCTGCCAGGGCTGCCCTTTATCACCGGTTCTGTTCATTATCTTTATGGACAGAATTTCTAGGCGCAGCCGTGGTGTGGAGGGTGTCGAGTTTGGTGGCAGGAGAATCTCGTCTCTGCTTTTTGCGGATGATGTGGTCCTCCTAGCTTCATCCAACTCTGACCTTCAGCTCTTGCTGGGTAGGTTCGCTGCAGAGTGTGAAGCGGTTGGGATGAGGATCAGCACCTCCAAATCTGAGACCATGGTTCTCGACCGGAAAAGGGTGGCTTGCCAACTCCGGGTCGGGGGAGGAGGTCCTACCTCAAGTGGAGGAGTTTAAGTATCTCGGGGTCTTGTTCACGAGTGAGGGTAGGAGGGATCGGGAGATCGACAGGCGGATTGGTTCAGCATCCGCAGTGATGCGGGCGCTGAGCCGATCTGTCGTGGTGAAGAGGGAGCTGATTTACCGGTCGATCTACGTCCCAATCCTCACCTATGGTCATTAGCTTTGGGTGATGACCGAAAGAACGAGATCGCAGATACAAGCGGCCAAAATGAGTTTCTTTCGTAGGTTGGCTGGGCTCAGCCTTAGAGATAGGGTGAGGAGCTTGGACATTCGGGAGGGACTCGGAGTAGAACCGCTGCTCCTCCGGATCGAAAGGAGCCAGTTGAGGTGGTTTGGACATCTGGTCAGGATGCCTCCTGGGCGCCTCCCTGGGGAGGTGTTTCGGGCATGTCCTGCCGGCAGGAGGCCCCCGGGTCGACCCAGAACACGTTGGAGAGGTTACATCTCCAATCTGGTCCGGGAACGCCTTGGGGTCCTGCCGGAGGAGCTGGTGGAGAAGGCAGGGGAGAGGACAGTCTGGAGCACCATAGTTGGGATGCTGCCCCCACGACCCGGACCCGGATAAGCGGAGGAAGACGACGACGACAATTAAAGGTGTGGTTCCCTGAAAAATTCTTTTTAATGATTATTTCTGATATCAGTCACTCTGAGTGTTTCATGCAGGCTGAACATGGAAATAGTCTCCTACACTTACTCCTGCATTAGCTTCTGATAGAAACGCTAGGATTAGAAAATCCTGACAGATCTACTTAAGATCTATTTAAGTTTAAAACTAAATCCCAAACTACAAGAGCATCAATGCAATACTCAGTATGTGTTCAATACTTGTGTAATACCAGGTTTACATGGTAGATCTGTGTCCCTTACAGTGTGCTGCATAGTTCTAGAACCCGTTCTTCATTTTTATTCGTGGTTTTAATGGTCGAAGGTTACAATACTAGCTTACTGCCTGTGTGTGCATACATGTACCATTGTTGTTTTTCTTCTAACTGCTCCCTTAAGTGGTGGTGCTGCTCTAACGAGTGAAAGTCCCCACAGTGGAACCAATAAAGTCCATTCTATTGTTTAAAACTAGACCCTCACTCGGCGTTCTCCTCCATGTTAGCTCATAAGCTGCAGCTTTTGTTTAAACTTCAGAATTAAAAACACTAAATAGATGAAATGATCCTGGACCCAAACATGGATGTTGGTGGATCAGCCTGCTCATGGTCCGACTGCTGTGCTCTCCACACGGACCTGCGGGATGATGGTGATTCTGGAGCGGAGCTCATGGAGGCCCAGCTTGCCGATGTCGACTCCATCAATGAAGATGTGTCCCTCTGCTGCCTCAATGATGCGGAACAGTCCCAGTGTTAGAGAAGACTTCCCAGCACCGGTTCGGCCTACAATCCCAACCTCAGAGAAAGCAACAGAACAATCCCAGTTACAACCAGAACTTACGACTGGGACTACCACTGGTCCGAGGTCAGCAGGTCCACGCCTACCTTCTCCCCTCCACTGATGCTGATGTTGATGTTTCGAATAGCCAGGTCCAGATCATAGCGGTACCGCAGACCAAAACTTTTGATCTCAATGACGCCCTCCGTGGGCCAGCCGGGGGGGACAGAGGGGGGGTCATGCTTCCACGCTGCCTGGACACGGAGAGATCCACATGAGCTAACCGTTAGCTAAACATGGTTCTGTCTTTTCACTTTACAGGCGAAGTTCTGGATCTGGGCCCTCCTGACAAGAACCCTGTGACCCCCCCCCCCCCCCCCCCCGTTATTTTTACTGAACTTTAGCCTAAAATGTAGAAAAACGACTTTCTGCAGCAGTGACTCAGTGAAGCTGAAGTTTTAACAAAACATGACGCTTTTAACCCACAATGGAATTTCCCGTCATTTCCCCAGATTGAAATAACATTTAGCTTGATGGGACATTTGTGTGTGAGGCTCTTAGCCAACAGACAAAACTGCTGGCTGGTTTCTGTGCACCTCTTTCTCTGTGTCCGAGTATTCCTTCACTTTCTCCACAGCCACGATGTTGGTCTCCACATCAGAGGACATCCTCACCAGCCAGGTCAGCGAGGCCGTTAGCTGCACGGGGGAAGGTTGGGTGAGGTTAGGGATACGAGGAGCAGTGTCTCCCCCCCAAGCTCCCACAGGTTAGAGTTTACCTGCAGAGCGTAGGAGATGGACAGCCCAATGATGCCTGCACTCAGACTGTCTCTGGCTATCACAGCAAACAGAGCTGCAAACGACACAATGCAGTTTCCTACAAACTCCAGACGGATGGCCAGCCACCTACAAACAGACCCACGGGCACATTAACGACCATATAACGGAGTGGATGCGATAACCTGGATGCAGCAGAGCCCCTGACCTGTTAGCTACTATGCTAGGGTAGTAGGCCTTCTGGTTGTGGTCCACCCGCTGGTCACTCTCATGGATGAATCGCTCCTGTTCCCCAAATGCTCTGATGACGGAGACACCCAGCAGAGTTTCACTGAAGTGAGTGTAGATAGGCGAACGGCTGACAGACTCAAGACGCTTCAGCTGGCGAGAACTGGCCACGTAAAACCTCTGGACAGACAGAGCAGATGTTAGACACATCCATGAACTGCAGAGCAGCACGTCAACGTTACGAGTCTTGAACTGAACCGGTTGACTCTAGTGCTACTAACCTGCACAAAAAAGTAGAGAACTCCAAGAAAAGGAATGACGACGGCCACCAGAGGTGTGGCAATCAGGATGACAACACAAGAACCCAACACGTTGAACATGGACCCCATGAACATCTTGAGAATGCTGGGAATCACCGAGTCAATAGTGTCCATCTCTTTGGCAAATCGGTTCACCAAGTTTCCACTTGGGGTTCGCTCAAAGAAGGATACTGGTGAGCGCAGGACATCGTCCAGCATGGACTGGTGGAGGAAACGAGACGCCAAGATTCCACCAATGGATGCAGAGAGGGAGTAACCAAAGACCGCCACGCCTGCAGGGCAGCAGAGGATCAGTGGTGGATTCAAGTGCTGAATGAGGACCTGAGACTCTCTGAACATGTTTAGAACCCCCGTGAGTTCTCACCTTGGATCAGACCCAGACTGCCGTACACACTCAGCCTCATCAGCCGGTTAGGCTGAGTGCCATTAACCACAGGGTCATCAGTCCACAGGCTCAGCCAGTAGTTGGAGAACAGGGAGAGCAGGTGGTGGGCCAGGAACAGCAGCAGACTGATGCATGACAGGACAACACCGATGGCCTTCAGGTAGGCCCAGAACACCTTGAGCTTGACCTGAGGACAGAGAGAAGAGCACCACATCAAGGTCCAACTTTAAATCCTCTGGTTTTTACGTGATTCGTCTGAATGTCTTGGGAACATTAGACGTGGAACTCGTTCCTGGTAACACAACCTACCCGTCCAGTGCTGGCCTTGTCAGCTTCAGTCAGCTTCCCCACTTCTGGGTTCTTGGTCTTCTTGCTCATGTCTTTGTCCGTGACTGCAGGGGATATTTTAGACTCAGCGATGACTCCGGCGCCACTGCAGACACGGAACACAGCAGGCATGGAAATGCCAACATGAAGCACACGTTCTGAAGTAGAGGCGTGTACTTGGTATCAGCAGGTCAGAGCTGGACAAGAGTCAGATACCAGCCCTTCAAACCAGGATCAGGCTGGGACTCCAGCCTGAACATGGACCCAGACTCACTCAGCAAGTGCAGGCATGCCGCCATTCTCTACTGCTTTAGCACCGCCCTTCAGCTTGGATTCTAGAGGACCGACACAAGAAACACAGAGTGTTCAGAGCGGATCCCAGAGAGTTATCTACATCTGATGACTTTAGGCACAGAAGCTGCTCAGAACTCCATCACAACGTGGTTAATATTGGCGCTCTACCACTGTCGGTTTGGTCCACAGCTGCGTATGTTCGCTGGAACTCGGCGAAAGCTCCCTCTCTGGCCATGAGCTCCTGGTAGGAGCCAACCTCAGTGATCTGTCCGTCCACCAGAACCAGGATCAGGTCAGTCTGAGGCAGGTAGCTTAGCCCATGGGTCACAAGTAGACGGGTCTGTAACAGCACCAAGAAGGAAACAACTACAATCAGTGGCAGTTGGTAAGGTCCCTCTTCCTACAACCACTCTAATGCAGAAGATTTTAAATTGTTAACTGGTGCTGGACTCCAGCTTCAGGGCTGTTGAAAGCTTATTGGCAGTGGGAGGGCGCCATAGATAAAGGTTGTAGCTAAATTGTTCCGTAGAGATAATGGACCCGATTAGCTGCTTACATGTTTACTCCACCGGTTCTGCTGGTGTGCTGCTGTTTCAAACCTACCCAGGAGGATAAACAAATTCCTAAAAATAAGCAGCTCGTTTACTAATTAAACAGTAATACTCTTTTTTTGGTTTTAAATATGATTGGTCACTCTGAGTTGCACACGCATGCTTAACCCCACACAAACCCCACCACCCCAACCAAGCTGAAGTACCCCTTACATATTAAGACAAGTGTACTAGAAACCTAAAATACCCACTTGATTCAGTAGTGAGTGACTGTTGTTAGCTCTACTCTGGTTATTTACATATTTTTGTTGCTACAATAATTTAAATTAAAAAAAATAAAAGTTCCAACTATTTGAAACAAAATAATGTAATATTTTGCTAAATGCTAAACATTTTCTACCATAACGCTGAGACAGTCCCTCTGCTCAGAAAAGCAGAATGAACCAATTATATGAAACACTGGAAGCACAGACAGGGGTGCTACAGAAAGTGAGGTTAGAACATCGGGGCTTTCCTGATCAGTCCCTGCTTGACTAAGCGATTCCAGTTTCGCCGGCTCCACAAACGATTCTCAGGTGGATCCAATCTTCTACAATTCAATCAAGGCGTACACGCGTCCACAAGCAGACCCTGTTAATCGATGCAAGATAAATGAGAGTGGAAGGGCCAGTGTGCGATTTGTGAAAAAAGCAGAGGGGGGTAATTTTTTTCACTTTTCCACACTACATACGTGGCTGCACACGACTCAGTCATACCGATGAGTCCTCCAAAGTCAAACATGCCCCAACGATGCGTCCTGTGACAACTGCGAGGTCTGGTGAGGTTGCTTCCGTTAGCTCTAAACCTCGAGCATCCAATGCACCTGTTAGCAGGTCAGGCAATCCTTACTCGCCAGACAAATTTCCACTAAAGTTTCTCTGCGATGTCATCCGTAAAGGTCCCAAGGAGAAACCTCACATCCCAGTGACCCTTGAGGGATCACTTGACTGTGAGGCTATCTTGGACTCTGGTTCGGACTTTTCCATCAAGTCCCGGTCTCTTTGGGAGAGCGTCGGCTTGGCTGCGGCTGGACAGGGTCTTGTCTTAACGCTCAGTCCTTTCACTCCAGATCCTATGACCTTGTCGTCTGTAGCTTTCCTTGAAGTTTCAGTGGGTGGCATGTCTGCGAGACACCCAGTGTATGTGTCTGACATTGAGGATTTTCCCCATGGGCGTCGCACCCGTGGGGGAAGTGGGGGTTTCAACACCCACACTTTTCCAGCCGCTTTGCTCAGCTCGACACCAGTCTGGTTTCCTCTACGTCGCACTCACTCTGTTTGCCTCATCTCCTTCTTCCCCTCCCTCTCCTGTTTCTCCTTGAAACCTGACATCGGCTGTCGGGTTTAAGGAGAAACAGGTAAGGGAGGGACGGAAGAGCTCGACTGAATTCATAATTTTACATCTTGACATTAGCTGTACAAAGTCTGAGTTTGATAAAGTGAAGAACAACAATTTGCAGAGGTTTATAATAGGCGCGGCGCCAGGTTTTCATTTTTGGGTGGGCTACGGTAATTCTGGATGGACCTTAATAAGCAGTGTCTTAAGTGAAGCAGGCAGGTTGCGCTAGAAAATTTAGTTTAAAAATACGTCATAAATGTTTCCCCCCGTCATTTTTATTTCTAAAATATGAAGTAAAAACTCCCAATTTAATTTTCATTCATTTGTCATTTATAGGCACCGAACCTGCATTTCTAATATTTACCTCTCAACGTAGGACTCTTTCATAAGGGTACATGCACACTGGTAGTTTTTACGGTTATTCATGGGGCAAAATCTCCCACATTTTTGAGAAAAAAAAAAAAAAATCCATCTTCCAGCAAAAGCAAAGCATCCAGCCCAGCTCTCCAAATGCGTAAAATGTGCATCACAGCCGCTAGGCGCGCCGCGCGCACCATCAGCTACGTCAGCCCAGACAAGAGCAGAGCAAATAGAGAAAGAATAGAGGATAATTGTGTCTGGATGTGGATGGAGATTACATTTTACAGTAGCCTGATCATCATTTAAATACGTAAACCATCACCTGTCTTCTAGTCCACGCTATCAGCATTATTTTAATTGGTGTGTGTGTGTGTGTGTGCAGGGTTGGAGGGTCTCACGTAAGAAAGGGAGGGGCTGTGGGAACTGTGGGGTGAGGTATCCTAACACAAAAGAGTTATCAATCCTAACTTGACGTAAAGTGATGCAGATTGAATACATCAAAGCAGATCATCATTATACATCTAGACAGAAGGGGACTACAATCAATAACTTTATGGGTCATTACACAACAGTCATCAATTCATTTCTTGACATATGGGGTCATTAAAGGTCATATCACAAAAGGTCATAAAACAATACACGTGTCAAGTTTGACGCAAGGTGGTTTGAGGGAAAGGTCATAAAGGTCAAAGAACAATAGACCTGTCAAAAATTTTGACGAAGGGTGGTTTCTTCATCTCTCTGTTAATACTGTTGATAGCATGGATTGAAAGGCTATGAAACAAAGACAATATAAGACATTTTAATGAGTCGTGGAGGATGGCTGCTTATACTGAGCCAGGATCCTCTGGAGGTTTCTTCCTGTTAAAAGGGAGTTTTCCTCTCCACTGTCGCTGCATGCTTGCTTAGTATGAGGATTGCTGTAAAGACTGTATGTGAAGTGGAACTTCACTCAAACTATTCAGATTAATTTATTTTTACACAAAGAGGAATTGTTAACTCTTTCATTGCCGTTGACGATTAGAGTAGTCATCTGCATTTTTTTACTGTGTGGGTGTCGGACGAGCCCCCGCACCGTGAGAACAAACATCTCAGCTCTAAAGCCGATCTTCATCCGCGTACGTCACGTGATCAGGAAGCAGAACATCCATGTGTTAAGAGATCGTTTTGGGTCGCTGCTGTAAAAAAAAGTGAGGCACGAACCGGAAAAGCTTCTGCCGATCACAATTCAACAACGGATTATGAAAGAACGGATAACGCTCTAAACTCGCGGATTCTTCCCGATGTAAGAGGTGAGTCTCCTCTTTGTTTTGGTAGTCTTGGCGTCGACATCATCCTAGCGCGCAACGTTCTGTCACTCTTATAAAAAAAAAAAACAGTAAAATCGCTGAAAAATGCTGGTAGCGAAGGGCTATTCTGATCAGGAAACGGCGGGCAGTGATAACTTTAGCATTTTAAATTTAAGGTCTTCAGATGAACTTCATGGTAAATCAGAACCATAAATACACAAAAAAGTACAGGAAGTTCTCACCCATCATTTTCATGGTCCTAATGCAGACACACACACACACACACACACACACACACACACACACACACACACACACACACACACACACACACACACACACACACACACACACACACACACACACACACACACACACACACACACACAACCTCAGAGAGACTATATTAGCCCCTCCCACATAAAATACAAAGCGAGTCTTAATGTTGTCCAATTCAACAATTTGAAACTACTGGTGCAATTATGTTAAAGGTGCAGTATAGATAAATATAGTGAGAATTTTACAGTGAGAAAATCCCAAAAGGGTCTAATGTTTCAGTCATTCTGGAAGGAACATTACACTGAAACGTGTTTCATATCCAGCTGGCTGCTGGGTTGTCAGTTTTTATCCTTTCAAAACTAAGGAAGGAGGGACGTATCTACTGTTTACCATCAGTGAGTGTGGGGGTGCCGCGTCTCCTGCAAGCTGATGCTGCAGTGCCCAATACTGCAATTTGACGACGGCTGTTAATAAGCTCCAGTTGTTTAAAGTGGCTGCAGTAACCACATTTGACCACAGGATGTCAGTTTTACTTCATTTCTACATAATGCACCTTTAAACATATTTATATAATTTTACAGGAGGCTGCGGTTGGTGGATGATGATCCTGGCCCAAGAAGAGCAGGCTAAACACAGATGTGCATACCATGGCCATCAGACATAAACACAAAAATAAGCAATAAAGGACGAACAAGAAGCAGCTTGTAGATGTGCAGAAAGGGAGAGAGAGGAACACAAAAATCCAACAGAACCAGAACTTCACTAGCAGTCGGTTCTGATGGATGGATGGTCGTGTTCTCGTCATCCAGACTTTGTTCTAGTTCTCTCACCCTCTCTTTGAATTATATTAACACTATGTATATAAATGACACTCTGATGGCGTTTCCTTGCCTTACACATTTATTTTAATTGTTATCTATAAGAATTATATTGTTTATTAAAATGGCTCAGTTGTATTTTCTGCTTCTCTATCATATATTAAGTGTTTTTTATAAATACCTGCCATAGATCTCACACACCTGTTGTATGAACTTTTTAAATTATTTAAAATGATTATTTTTTCTATAAGTTTTGACACTAAGCTCAGAACCAGAGTCACATATGTGCCCACTGCAAACCCACTATGCTTAAAAACACAAGCATGAGTCTTATATCAGAGCTACATGTTTGTAAGGAGAAATAAAAAACATCAAAATCGGTTCAAGGAGCTATGGTTCATTTAACGTGCTAACACTTCAAAGATGGCGGCGCCACCACTAGTCAGCGCCCAGGCAGCGGCGGTCACGCGGGGCCCATCAATGTCTGTGGTTCATCCCGCCTTGTGGAAGCTAACAGTTAGCATTAGCAACCCTATAACATGGCTGTACACATTCAGACTCGTGGAGATAAAACATCAACGCTGCTGAGCGAATGGAGGCAACAGAAGAATTTTGCTGCCATTAGCCAATCAGCATGTTATAAATAATGCGTATGACTCTAAATCCTCCCCCAACTCTAAAGGGTCCCAATAATTTGACCTGATAGGAAAATAATTATTTTATTCTCCTCTACCCGACCCTGAAGGCTGCGTGGCTCCAGGCCGAAAGCTCACCTTGTCCTTCAGAAGTCCTTGAGGGCCGATGACCTGCTCAAAGATGTGCTTCCCGACGTGAGCGTCCACAGCGGACAGCGGGTCGTCCAGCAGGTAGACGGCTCGGTCACAGTACACAGCTCTGGCCAGGCTCACCCGCTGCTTCTGACCCCCAGACAGATTGACTCCCTGTGAACACAGTAGAGAACACAGTTCATCGGCTAGCACGCTGCTGCTAACCACTTAAACATTCTCCCTCTCCTGATAATAACATTTTACTCTCTTTGACGTTGAATGTGCTACTACTAGTTTACCCGTTTAATTATAGATCCACTAGGATAAATACAATAAAGTTTATCTCTCACCAAATACAATACTTACTAAGAAATCACAATGTAACCATAGACACACTACTTGGTGTGTGTGTGTGTGTGTGTGTGTGCGCATGCGTGTGTGTGTGTCTTCTCCATCCCCAGTGAGTCGTGGAGGATGGCTGCTTATACTGAGCCAGGATCCTCTGGAGGTTTCTTCCTGTTAATAGGGAGTTTTCCTCTCCACTGTCGCTAAATGCTTGCTTAGTATGAGGATTGCTGTAAAGACTCTGACACGAGTCAGTGACTCGATGCAACCTGCTGGGTTCCTTATATAGGAAACTTTTTACTGATTGGCTTAATGACCTGACCTGTGTTGGGATGTTTACTTTGTGAAGGTCCTTGAGATGACTCTTGTCGTGATTTGGTGCTTTATAAATAAACTTGAATTGAATCAAAGAGAACCACTGAGAGCAACATGTCTAAAGGAAGGGACCTCTGGACTCGTCCACTGGTTAGTCTGAAACATCTAGGATGCAGGGTCAGGGTAAGAGTCCATACCGCTCTACTCCAAAACCACAGACTAAACCTTTATAATCTCTGCTTCACACTGCTGATACCTTCTCTCCAATCTCTGTGTCTTCTCCAGCAGGGAGGATCTCCAGATCAGGTTGGAGGGCACATGCCTCCACAACCTGCTGGTACCACTGCTCCCTGCCCTCCTGACCAAATATGATGTTCTCCTTCAGCGTGGCGTTCTGGATCCAGGCCTGCTGGGGGACGTAGGCCACAGAACCCTGCAGAGCAACAGCACAAAACACAGTGGTTATACTCTGAATCTGGCAGCATCTCCTGCCTGGTAAAAAATGTCTAGATGTTTCATCATCATGAACGTCTGAGGCCTGACAGTCTGAAAGAGACATGAACATTTACATATTGTACTCAGTGAGGAGGACTGATCAATCAATCAATCAATCAATCAACCAACCAATCAATCAATCAATCAATCAATCAATCAATCAATATTTATATAGCACTTAATCATGCAATACATGCAACTCAAAGTGCTTAACAAATTAAAAAGGCCCCACATTCCTTCCCATCCCCAGAACTTTAAAAACAGTCTGACAATAAAAACCCCTTCACAACACTCATCATCCGGCACACACACACACACGCACAGGCGCGCACACACACACACAGGCACACACACACACGCACACACACACACACACACACACACGCACTAATAAAGCCTAAACTAATAAAGAAAGTTCTCCTCCAGCTGAATGTGTGTGCTACCAACCTTCACAGCCACAGTTCCTTCCAGTTTATCCATCTCTCCAAGGAGGGCTGAGAGCAGAGATGACTTCCCAGAGCCAACGTGTCCCACCACGGCCACCAAAGAGCCTTCTGGGATACACACATTCAGCCTACACACACACACACACACACACACACACACACACACACACACACACACACACACACACACACACACACACACACACACACACACACACACACACACACACACACACACACACACACACACACACACACACACACACACCTCTGATGTAATCACACTGGAATCTGATGTGGACTTCAAAGACTATTGTGGCCAGAGACACAAACCTCTTTAGAGATGGTGGTTCGGTTCTGGACCAGCTGAAGACACCGTCCACCATAGAGACACTGAGGGGGGCTGGGAGGAACAGAGGAATAGAAAGAAAACCAAATGAACAAACAGACAAATATAAGGAAATTATTATTAAACAGGACGTATTACACTTTTCTTTAGATATAATATGGTCTCACATGAAGCACCTCAGCAGTTTTAGTACCTTCCATGAGCTGTTTGAGGGCTCGGTCACTTTAACTCATTCACTGCCAGCCGTTTCCTCATCAGTAAAGCCCGTCGCTGCCAGCGTTTTTCAGCGTTTTCAGTTTTTTTAAGAGTGACAGAACGATGCGTGCTAGGATGATGTCGACGCCAAAACAACCAAAACAAAGCGGAGACTCACCTCTTACATCAGGAAGAATCCGTGCGTTTTGAGTCTTATCCGTTCTTTCATAATCCGTTGTTGAATTGTGATCGGCAGAAGCTTTTCCGGTTCGCAACTCACTTTGTTTTTACAGCAGCGACCCAAAACGATCTAACACATGGATGTTCTGCTTCCTGATCACGTGACGTGTGACGTACGCGGATGAAGATCGGCTTTAGAGCTGGGATGTTTGTTCTCACAGTGCGGGGGCTCGTCCGACACCCACACAGTAAAAACATGCAAATGACGACTTTAGTCGTCAATGGCAGTGAACGAGTTAAGCAAACAAGCTGGAGCTGGCCACACCTACCCATCCCCCACTCCAGCTGCTATAAACTGAGAAGCTCTGATTTCCAGGAGGGGCTCGGAGAAGAGTTGCTGCTCCTCCATGAGAAGGAACTTTAAGTGTTTGGTTTTATTTTTAGGAGGAGCTGGCCCAAGTGTCTGGGGAGAGGGAAGTCCGAGCCTCTGCCTAGGCTGCTGCCCTCGTGATCCCACCATGGACGATAGGAAGAGAATGGATGGATGGTTTTATTGTTTAATAAACTTAATCACTGTTGTACATCTCCGTGTCTCCGGATGACTCTCGGTCAATGGATGCACTTTTTAACTGTATTTTAGACATCGAATCCTGGATGGCAGAGAACTTTCTCCAGCTCAACCAGGACAAAACTGAAGTTTTAGTCATTGGTCCTGAGGCCCAGAGAGAGAATCTTTTACCGAAATTACAATCTCTGTCTTTTAATCCATCTGAACAAGTGAAGAACCTGGGTGTGATTTTTGACTCTGAGCTGACTTTTATCCCACACATTAAAAATATCACAAAAATAGGTTTTTATCATCTAAAGAACATCACCAGAGTCCGCCCCATTCTCTCTCGGGCCAATACGGAGACGTTGATGCATGCTTTTATCACCAGTAGGATAGATTACTGCAACGCCCTGCTTTCTGGTCTTCCTAAAAAGAGCATCTCAGGCTTACAACTTCTACAAAATTCGGCAGCATGTGTCCTGATGAAGACCAGGAGGCGGGAGCACATGACACCAGTTTTAGAATCATTGCATTGGCTCCCCGTATGTTTCAGGATCAATTTTAAGGTTCTTCTAATGGTTTTTAAGTGTCTTAATGGTCTTGGGCCTTCTTATCTATCAGAACTGCTTTTACAATATGAACCCTCGCGGCCTCTGCGCTCCTCTGGCAGGCATCTCCTGGTCATCCCTAAAGTCAGGACACAAACTCACGGCGAGTCGTCCTTCCAGTGTTATGGCCCTCGCCTCTGGAACGAGCTGCCAGAGGACCTCAGGGCCGCAGAGAACGTTCATGTTTTTAAGTCAAGACTCAAGACCCACCTGTTTAGGTTAGCTTTTATCTAAATATTTACTACAGTTTTATTTCTCGTTTTACACGATTATATTTTATTACTTGCTTTGCATGTTCTATATGATTATACTTTAGCACAGTTTTATTATTTAATATTATTATTTTACTGTCTATGATTTTATTTATTACTTATTTTCTAATTTTTGTCATTTATATTAGCTCTTTTATTACATTTTTACTCATTTTAATCCAGTGTTTCCTCTGTGGGGGCCCTCTGCCCCGGGAGCGGTGGTCGACTGTAGCTTCCTGGGCGCTCTATAGGTGGGGGTCTATGCTCCCCCTCCACTGAGCGCCCTGACTTAGTGTGGAAGACCTGATGCTGCCGGGGCAGACGGCTCCTCTGATGGCGTTTCCTTGCGTTACCATACTTGGCTCATCTGGACTCATAATTGTTACTTGTGTGTGTGTGGGTCTGTGTGTTTGTGTGTGTGTGTGTGCTTGCATATGTTTGTTAATGTTTTTAACCTGTTATGGGAATCTGGGGTCATTTTGTAAAGCACTTTGAATCACACTTTGTTTGAAAAGCGCTTTAGAAATAAAATTTGATTGATTGATTGATTGATTGGTTGGTTAAGCTGAATCAGTATCTGTATCTCAGACCTCACTGGTGCAACTGGAGCGGCCACTGGGACTTCTGGTCCAACCCATTCAAGCTTCAGATAGTTTCCATTTGGAGCTGAGATAAGGATGTGATCCACCCTCTCCTCTTTGTTTCCTGCATTAGCTCATCACCACTAGCTCATGATGGCTACCTAACTGATTGTAATTAGAAGAGTTTAGTTGAGTTTCAACAGAGCGGATCCAAATGAGAGAACAGCAGCGATGCCAGACGGGTGGTTTCTGAGACCAGGAGACTCACAGCCAGCCAGTGCTTTGTGCTCCACGCTGTCCTCCTGCAGCTCCTCGAGGGACAGAAATACCCTGAGCCTCTTCAGGGACACACTGGCCTGCAGGGGGACAACAGGAAAGGAGACAGAATGGGACGTCATTATTGTACTGGGACCACCTGCGTCTGGTCTTTTAGACATCCACCCACCTGCACCATGCTGCTGATGACCATTGGCAGCATGTTGAGAGGGAACCGCAGGATGTTGAAGTACGCCAGCGACACAAATGCCTTCTCGGCATCTAGAACGTTCTGCTCATCGATCAGCACATACACAGTGAAGGTGGACAGGGCAACCTAGGAAGGGAGCAATCAGCTGAAATCAGCCATGTCTCTGCAGGAGGAGTCCTGCAGTCATTGGTCTCTAGTCTTCCTTGGTGTTGGACTCACCAGGAAGGGTGCGCAAACCCAGGTGAAGGTGGACACTGCTCCCAGGTAAGCAGCCTTCTTCAGCACGCGCAGCTCACTCTTACGGATTTCAGACACCTTCTTCTCAAAGGCCAGCTCCCAGGCATACAGCTTCAGCACTTTGATACCATTCAGCATCTCATTCATCAGCTTAATGCGACCGTCTTTACTCTTCATCTGGGCCACCTGATCAGCACAGGGTGACACAGATAGTAAACGCTCATTTTCTAGCCGGCGTGGAGCACAACCCTAGCCTGGCCTGCCAGACTCGTCCTCTGGTTAATTCTGCACAGAAAGAGAGTCTGGTAACTCACAGGGAGAGAGGCACAAGAGGGGCGGGACTAGGCAGCTCAAAAATAACCAATCAGAAAAAAGACTGAAATGTAGACTGTACCGCTAACCCTAACCCTGCGTCGTTGTAGTTTTTTTTTTAGCTGTAGTCAAAAATGGCGTCTGGCGACAGCGCAAACATCTTTTATTCTTTAGCAGAAATGTTTTTGGCGCTTCTACTTGTTGATTTAACGATGTGTCCGAGTCATTTAGACCAGAGGAAAGAGCCGCAGCGAACTCCGCTTCTGTCGCCATGTTTATGACAAACTCGGCATTGAGGTGTGTGTTTTTTAGACCAGCTTTAAAGTCAAGTTTATTTGCGCTACTCAGCACTGATTGGCTGGGTTAGAATTCTCAGGGGGCGGGGCTATTTGAATAGGAGAGTTCTAAGACCCTTTCTCTGTGCAGAGTTAAACAGAGGAGTCGTCTGGCAGGTCAGGCTAGCAAAACCCAGAGTTGAGGTTCAAGAGTCCAAAGGTGTGTTTTTACTATCGAAACTTCAGGATAATTTTACTGGAACTTCCCAGAGCCTCCTCTGCCGCGGGCCGACCAAACGGACCATTTTCCAGTAACCAATGGACTACCTGAACAAGGTAGGCACCCGGAAAGTCCCGGGATAGTTGTCGAACTGAACGTTTGGCTTACTCGCGCTGATTGGTTGTAACTCAGTAGGAAATGACATCAGCAGACGTTGCCAAATAACCGGCATTTGAGTTACTGATGAAGAAAAATAGAAGAAAAAGAAAATAAGCAGCGTTCTTGCTGATTTAAAATTGTGCCCCCCCCCCCCCCCCCCCCCCCCCCCGACATCGCTGTGTTTCACGGGGCATCGGTGTCTCAGAGCACCTTAAAAAAACGACGCCTCTCCTGCTCATTGAACGCCACTTTTACATCCCATGAGTCGCTCTCTCGAATGGACGAACTTATGGCGTACGTCAACAGAATGAAACTTTTAATGTTATTAGCTTCATGGACGTCTTTTGATGCTGATGACATCACCCACTGCTGAAGCAGTCACACGCTGACGTCTGAACAAAGTCCTGAAAGGGCTGAATTTGTCTGGAGACAACAGCTGAGAGGTCCGGGACATGTATTTCCCCTCCCACCAATTTCCCGCAACCCCTTTAGTGGGAAAACGGCTCCTGTGTCAGACTCGAGTCGGACTCCAGCTGGCTGAGTGGGATGTCTCTGGGAAGGACAGGGAGTAAGTGCGATGGTGTACCTGATACGTTTTAGTTTTCATGGCAATGACGGCATTCACAGGAACCATCAGAATCATCACGGCCACTCCAGCCAGCACAGACGGACCCAGGTTCTGTTCAGAAACAAATACAAACAACATTACTACAGCCATCATGCTACATGTCCCCATCTTCCTCCAAAGGATTACCTGCCAGAGGAAGTAGAGGGCCAGCACCACCTGGAGGGGGGCGGACCAAACCATATTGATGTAGGTGATGAGTTCCATGAAGCGCTGAGCGTCCACGGACATCAGGTTTACTATCTCTCCTACCGTAGAGGTGCGGCGTGCTGCGTTACTTATGACCAGGGCCTGATGGAGCAGAGGCAGGCAGGGAAAAGGTCACAGAGGTCCAGCTGTAGGTTAACACGAACAGGCGCTCCAGTGGCTGACGGTGTCCAAACCAGGTTTAGACTCACCTTCCTGTAGACAGCACCGATGACGGCGGTGCGAAGACGCATACCCGTCGTGAAGCAGACGTGAAAGTACTTCTGCAGAATAACGGACTGTACACAGTTGCATATGAAGAGCAGAGCGGTGTAGAAGAAGCCATGCCAGGAGGGGGCGCTGGAGTTGTTGACAAAGCTGATCAGAAGCCTGTGTGGGAGCACAGGTGAGAGAAAACACACCCGTTTAGAGCCCGAACAACTGGATGCGTCACTGGACCTCACGTAATGACTATAAACCAGTGAGCTGCCATTATCTGACTCAAGAAGAAGCAAAAAGGACGGTTTGAAGACGAGGACAGCAAGCTTTTGTCAGCTGTCCCTGTGACACAGAGGGTGGATCAAGAAGCCCAAGTCTATAGGAGTCTTCCCAACATTCCGAAGGACAGTGCCACTCTGGTGGTGGATGAAAAGGTCACACCGCTAATGCTATCAACTCTAGCTGCCCAACATCTACGCCACCCGAGCGGCTTTTCTGCACAACTTCTAAAAGATCTCATTTCCAGCCTGAAAAGGTAAACATGCCAACTTAGCACAAAACTCTTAATGCTAGTTAATTTTATGTGTAAACATTACTTTTTTTTAGACCAGCTTTAAAGTCAAGTTTATTTGTAAAGCACTTCTAAACCAGCATGGTGACCCAAGTGCTGGACAGAGCAATCACAACACGCAGGTACAACTGTCACAAAGACAAATGATACACTTAAATATAAAACACAAGTATGAGAAATGAACCGAAAGAAAGAAATCCAATCAGGCCTCTGAGATACTATGTTAACAGACTAGCATCCTCCAACAGCTAGATTAACAAACGTGTCGGACGGGACTTGAAAAGTGGAAGTCAGTTGGACTGCCTCACCACTAGGGGCAGGTTGGTAGTCTTGGACCTGCATAACCAAAAGCTCGTTCACCACGCGCCTTGTTACACGCTTCCTGACATTCAGAAGTAGGCGGTCAGCAGACATAGTCCATCCTGTGTTCTCTCTGACCTCGTGCCGGGTTGACAGTGGGGTTGGGTGATTAGCATCATTTTACCCACCGCCAATCGCCAGTCCAAAAAACGATGACGGACAATTTATTCATGCATGTGACGTCATGATGCACATGCACGGCTTGATCAGCGAACACAGACGCCCAAAACCCAGATATCTTTTATAGCAGCTCAGCGCAAATGTTGGCTGGAAGATAAATTTAGATTCTTTTTACTGTTTCCTTTTGCATTAGTAGTTTGGTAAAGTGGCGTATGAACGGGCCGTATTAAACACGGTTAAAGCCTCATCTTTGTGTCCCTGTGGGGCCCAGCACTGTGGTGTTTTATTTAAGCAACATGTTGTTTTCTGAACGAAGGCTACTGGGGTTCTTTCTTTTATGACTCTGAGAAATGGAATGAACCGCTGCTGCGTTTGGACGCACACTGAGGAGGCAGCGAGAACACGCTCGGATGCGTTGATGGAGATCCTTTCTTGGATGTTACCTCCACGATGTTCTCTGTGAGTAATGTGTAAAATATTTGTCATTAACTCACCAGCAAACTACCGCATTTTCCGGACTATAAGTCGCACTTTTTTTTTTCATAGTCTGGCTGGTCCTACAACTTATATACCAAAGTGACTCATATACCTAATTATGTATACCACGCTGCTGCTGCGGTCCGGCTCCGGTCCAGGTTTCAGCTTCTCTGCCCCGCTGGTAGGGTTAGAAACACCGCCATCCTCTGCTGGAGACCGAGGCGCGCTGCTGCGCCCTGACTGTTTATTCTGTAATCGTTACCGATACTTGTCTTGCAATGTGAAACACTTGGTCTCAGATTTTGTAAGAAAAATAATAAAATTTCCCCCCAAAATGTGACTTATATGTTTTTTTCTTCTTCGTTATACATTTTATGGCTGGTGCGACTTATACTCTGGAAAATACGGTAATAAATAAATAAACAAATCACCTCCTGTAAAAAACAATCGTAACGGCTCATCCCATCGCCCATCCCTGGTTGACAGGGTGAATCTGTTGAAATGAGCTTCAGCTCAACTCCCTGCCGGGGTACTACAGCTGGAAAGAATACACAAAGCTCTCCACAAGAAACAGTAAATATGATTCTTCCCACAAATGATAACGCTACAGTAAAATATTAATTAAGACACCAATGATTTAATTAGGATAAGGTTTTCTCACCGGAGAATCTCAGGTCCAACAAACATGAGAATGTCTTGGATGATCTTATAGAAGCAGGAGATGAAGAAGTAAGGTCCAAAGGTCAGGCACAGCGCCCACAACAGGGAAGGCTCTTTGGTTTTCTTGCCAGATTTCACAATCAGGATTTCAGACTCTTCCACAGCCTGAGCCTCTTTGGTCTCACCATGGGGCTTCCGCTTGGGGGAGTACATGGTTTTCTGCTCAGTACTGGAGGAGACAGACAAATGGACTCCTTCAACATCCAAACCTTTGTGAACCTATTTGTTTTGACAAAAGGCAGCAAGAATACCTTTTGACTTTGTGGCATTCAGAGTTCCAGCTGTGCACCAGCTGCGGTACAACTTCATGGGACTGGTCATCAGGATTCAAAGACCACAGGTCTTTCTCCACCAGAGGACGTTTGAATCCCGTCACCAACAACCTGGTAAAAAAAGGATTTGTGTTTCTGGTTCGTCCTCCCTTTGTCTCAACGAAGCACAGCAGCGTAAGCTGGTAGATCCACAAGCCTCAACCCTGCTTGTGGGTTCGACCGCTGGTGCCGGAGCAACCAGCACAGGTTGGGGTTCAGACTGAGATCGGTCCCACAGCAGTGTGACCGGCAATAGGAGGCGGTTCTTTCACATGCTGATGAGGCTCCTGGTTTGCAGTTTACATTCAGTCAGTTAGCGTTGTTTTTAGATTTGAGTCACCTAACCCAATAAATGGCAAGAAGCAAAAGACTACCGCAAAATCCCGCGGCAACTTCCAGCTCCGTCTGACTGAGTGGAAGTTGGAATCATTTTAGACCTCTAGCTACAACATCCACCATGAACTATTTTAAACATATTCATATAATTTTCCTGTGACATCTGCAAGGGCGAGAACGTAGAACAGGAATGTGGACTGTGTTCTCACCTTGTGATCCACCAGAAAGTTATTCTGGAAAGGAAAGAGGCTCCAGGCTCAGGACATGGATTCTGCACACATAAACCTCATGGTTAACGCTCAAAGACGGAGATGCTGCGAGGTGTGTCAGCTGAGTACAATCACGCAGCCATTGGCTGGTTGGTAAGTGGAATCACTACGTCTGGAGATGGAGGGTTGTTTTTAAGTCAGTAAAAAAGGTGATTACTGACACCTGGTGACTACAAGTAGGACGTCGCTTATTTTGATTAGTTATAAATGGTGGTTTTATATATTAAAGCATCAAATGTATGAACGTAGCCTTACAGATCCAGACTCTGGAAACCTCTTCTAGCTTAGCGTAGAGGACTATAAACCTAATGTGGTGCATCATCTGAATGTCATTCATTTGTCCAGCTTCAGTATTTTTGCATTTAGTCATCAGCATGTGAAGGTGTTAGTCAGGTCTCACAGAGTCTTTCACAGCCTGAGAGAAGAGCGGGGGTTGGTCAGTCAGGGAAGAGAGGACCAGAGCGATCATCAGCAGGACGTAGTACATGTGGAAGGTGGTGTATCGCCATATACACACCGTCTCCAGCTGGAGGGAGATGAATAATGGCATGTTTAACCTTTCAGCATGCAAAGGTACAATCAGTGTATGTTTAGCTCACTGTCAGCCAGACCTGGAGCAGTGCCTGGAGGATTTTGGACCTGAAGGAGACTGTGGCACACAGCAAAGCTAGCAGCCAGAAGATCAACATCACACCAGAGGACTGGACTCCTTTCATCCGCTCATACTGTATCATCAGGGTTGCCAGCAGCTGCAGCAAAAACAATCTACAGCTTTCACTCAACAACACAATGGTAAAGAAGCACCCTACTAGCCTGTCACTGCACATAGTAGGTTTAGTTCTTCAAAGAGTACAGACGAAAGCATCACTGAAATAAATATTAGAAATACTCATTACAGGAGTCGGGAGGTGGGACTCACCAGAAAATTAGTGTTACAACAGGTGTTATTGTGGTCAATTTATGATGAGCTCCTGAAGATGTGTAGCCTGGCCTGCCAGACTCCTCCTCTGTTTAATTCTGCACAGAGTAAGGGTCTGGGAACTCTCCTGTTCAAATAAACCCGCCCCCTGAGAATTCTAACCGAGCCAATCAGCGCTGAGTGGCGTAGAACACAAACCACAACGCCGAGTTTGTCATAAACAAGGTGACTGATGCGGAGTTATCTGCGGCTCTTTCCTCTGGTCTAAATGACTCGGACGTGTCTTTAAAACAACAAGTAGAAGCGCTAAAAGTCTTTCTTCTAAAAAAAGATGTTTGCGCTGTCGCCAGACGCCATTTTTGACTACAGCTAAAAAACTACAAGGATACAGGGTTCGAGTTAGCAGTACAGTCTACATTTCCGTCTTTTTTCTGATTGGTTATTTTTGAGCTAGCTAGTCCCGCCCCTCAAGTGCTTCTCTGCCTGTGAGTTACCAGACTTCTCTGTGCAGAATTAAACAGAGGACGAGTCTGGCAGGCCAGGCTAGAAGATGTCCTCCAGTTAGAAAAAAAAATTACACTAAAGAAAAATGAGAGTCTAGTTTACTGTCCCTCATGCTGGGCTACGGGGACAGGCAACGCCATCATTCATCGACACAAGCGCTCAGTGGCAGGCCCCCAAGAGGGAGATGGAAATATGCCTAATTTTAAAAAACTAGGTCAAAAGCTGTGATTGGTCATCATGCCACTTCCTTTAAAGGGGCATTATGGAAGTGTGACAGCCAAAACATGTATAGAAATAATAAATGTCTTCTTCATACAATCTCCTGCAATGCCCTGGTCCTGTAGAATGAGCCCTGGCATTTTTACTGTGATTGCCTGTTTTTCTGTAAAATCACAGAAAAAGAGAGATGCTCGGGTCGAGCAGGCTGCTTCATGCGCGTTCACGCTCAGGCATAGCCCGTAGCATTTGCTATCAGTAGCTTTAGTCTTTGTCGCTGTTCCTAACACTTAGTGACAAACCTAGCTACATTTCTGAGGACCCTTAGCTACTTTCTGTAGAACTTTCTCCTAGATATTTCCTGCAAATTAGCAACAAAAGAGCCATTTTCGCTCTGAACCATTCTTTGAACGTTGTTTCAGCTGTCATCAAGGATATAAAAGTTACAGATGCAAAGTACATCACTGGCGATTTAGCTCACCTAGTAAACTTTCAGGCTTTCGTGCAGAAGACCTGGGTTTGATTCTCGATGTGAACATGGTTGTTTCAGAATTTTGTTTTTACATTAATGGTATATCTTTTTACAGTAAGATGCCCAAATTTTTATTTGAGACTCGTCGAACGGCATTGAATTCACAGATAAAAAAGATGTGGGTTCAACTTTCATTTTGGAACAGTTTTTCAATCAAGGGAAGGGAATGATCTGAGCATGCAGGAGGACTGGCCCATCATAAACCTTTGTCGGCTGTGCTGAAGAGAAAGGTACAGAACCAAACTATTAAATGAATTAGCTGCGCGTTCTCCTGTCCTCAGGCCCCTCAACAGCGTTGCCGTAAAAAAAGTGAGAAGAAATCTAGCAGCAGACACAGAGCACTCCTTGAACCACCACCTAACCGTGCTCAAGGAATTTGAGTGCCCTGATGATCCCAGAGCTATGTTGTGGGGGGGCACATTACCCCTTGGCAGGGTCACCCATGGCAAATTGGTCTTAAATGCAGGGGGATCACCGAGCAGGCCAGTTCAGCAGCCAGGCCAGAGGAAAGTGTCTCTGTGCTCCAGGGCACTGGCCATCTGTGAGTTCTGGAGAGACCCAGATTGGCCACTGTGCTTCGAGGCCGGTGTCCAGAAGAGTAGCTTCCGTGCGCATTCAGTTGGGGCTACAGAGCCTGACAGTTGTCTGCGCTTACACACCAAATAGCAGCTCAGAATATCTACCCAGTTTGAAAGACATGGGACAAGTGTTCTCACACCAGGGACTCCAGTCTTGCTTGGGGCTTTCAATGCCCACATGGGCAATGACTGTGTGACCTGGAAGGGTGTGACTGCCCATCTATACTAGAGTTATGATTCATTTATGGACTTCTGTGCAAGTAGCACTTTGGATATAACATGCCCAATTGAATACAAGGATGCCTTAGAATGTGTGCTACCAGGGCAGCCTAGGTTGTAGGTCAATTATTGACTTGCTGGTGAGGTGATATCACCTACAGCAGCAGGTGTAATTGCTGAGGCAAAATCTAGGTCGAGGGACAAGGACATAGAAGTAGACTATACATTGGCTCCAAAGAGGTTCTGGAAAACCAGCCATTCCTCCCCATCCCTGCATATTTTTCTCCTCCTGCTCCCTCACATCATCACACAAAACATGCACATAGGACCTTGGGGGCTGGACAAGTCTGGGAGTGTGGGTATGGACCCCATTTCCGCATTCCTGTGGCAACCAGCCCCCAAATTTTATTTGCACCTTATACACTTCCACCAGCGACATTCCATGCAAACACACTCTTAGGACCTTGGGGTGAGCACATTCAACAGCAGTTGGCAGGGGGATTTCTCTGCCTCATCCCGAGTGCCGGAGCCCACTTCCAATTTTAAACTGCACTTAAACACTGAGGGCTGTGGGTGCAAGTGGGGTGGTGTGGCGGCATCAGCTGGCATAGGCCAGACAATGCCCGCACTGTCCGCTCACCACAGCCATGGAATACACCTCATCAGCACTCACTAACACCATATTGGAGCAAGCGGAGGGAGACTAGGGGTCTTAGCACACCTCTGTTGTTGCTTGGCTTCCTGGGGATGGAGGCTAAGAGGGGGATCTGGCCGTCTGGTTGGGGTCTGGGGTGGTGGGTTGCTGTGCTGTGCGTTGGGCGGGGGAGCCTGCTCATCAGCACCCCAGCAGAAAGGGTGAAACTCTTGGAACCGGTAATGGTTGTACCCCATGTGCAGCGGTACCGGGACCAGAGTGAATAGGGTGTGTATGGGGAGCATGAGTGGGTGTCCGGAGTGCATTTTTGTAACCCCAAAATTCCACTATCTCCGCTCAGCCCCCGCTTTCCGCTGCCGCTCGCTTCCGAACTCAAATTATACTGGTACCCGCTCTACAACGGCTCCGCCCCGGTGCGGAGACCTGAGGTGTGCAAACAGGCATGCGCAGGATTTTCGAGATCTTGCGATACAGTCCAAGCAATAAATGCGGAAGTTAGATCCAAACACCCGTTGTGTGGGAGAAGCATCGAAAAGAACTGTTTAATCTGCCCATCGTTTGTGTTGAGAGATCAGCAGTGTTTGGATCAACAAAGAGTGAGTACTTTGATAGTAGAAACTGTATTTATGGCTTATTTTTGTGCATTTAAAGTTCAACCGCCGTTGATAGTTGTTAAAAGTTGTTAAACCTGTGCATATGAAACAAAAAAACGCTTTTTATTGATTTATTGTGAAATAACGGAAGTTGTGCTTGCTCTATTTCCTGTTGGGTGGTTGTGATTTCTGTCCATTGACTGCGGAGGTGCTCCGGCGTCCGGCAAAAATAGAATCGATCCTATTTTTGCTGGATGGCGGAACAGCGGGTGGCGCACTGCGCCGCACGGCCGCAGTAGTGGAACAGCTCTGATTGACTATAACGGGACCGTTTTAGCTGCGGAGTTCGTGCCGGAGCGGAGATAGTGGAATTTTGGGGTAAGTCTTTGGTTGTATGTGTAAGTGTGAGCATGAGGGAGGGAGTGTGTGACTGTGTTTGTGTATGACTGTATAGGTCAGGAGGGGCCTTTGACTCCTCCCTTCTCCTGGGACTTCTTTTGATGACATAGATCTTCGTCTCCCCTCTCCCTGCCACACCTGGTGTGGAGTGCGGTGCCTTGGTCTGCCTGAATGTTCGTGGCTCCCGGGTCAGGGGGTTTAAGATTTTTGGCATCTGCCTGATCAGTCCCAGTGGCTGTCTGGTGGGGTCTGGGTCCCGGGCTCAGCCGGCTAGGGGGTGAGAGGCTGCGGGAGGGCCTGTGGGCTTGCCGCTGATATCTCCCGGGACTCTGCTGGCTGCTGGTTTTGGCCCCCCGGGGTGAACCTCTGTGCTTCTTGAGGGGGGCGGGGGCCTTTCTGGTTGCAGTCTCCTTGGGGTTCCTGTGCTCTGGGGCAGCTCCTGGATCTCTGGGACTTGGAGCTCCCTCAGTCTCCTACACATCTTTGGGGGGCAGATCTGTGGTCCCTCACAGTCTCTATTGGACGCTCCTATAGAGAAACTTTACATAAACAAGCGCGTGTACACACACAGGTGCTCACATGGTGCTCTCATAAGTATGGGCTTGGGCACGTTCAACACATGTCTTAAGGCTGTCGTTGCCACTAAATGCACTATGATTTGTTTAACATGTGATTGTTCAGTTAAACCTTGCTGATTGTATATTTCTTCAAGCTGACGCAGTGATAGCTTGCTCTTGTTGTATTGTTGTGTGTCCCATTTTTTTCTCTCCTTTCTCTTTCTGCAGGTCTAGAAGCAGACTCTTGTTCATTATAACATCCGGTCTACTCGGCCGACGAAGAACGCAGCCCACGTCGGCCGAGTAGGCTGGGTCTTTCGAAGGATGCAGACCCTGAATTGAGACACAGCAATAGAGAACTAGAGTAAGAGATAGAGAGAAAGATGGAGATGGTGAGAAAAGAGACAGAAATAGGGAGATAGAGATAGAGATAAATGACCCGCACTTGTACAGCTCCACTCAGAGTAAGGACTCCAAAGCGCTTTACTCTACAGTGTATCATTCATCCATTCACACACACATTCATACACTGGTGGTGATGAGCTATGATGTAGCCACAGCTGCCCTGGTACGCACT